GATGCCCTGTTCCTTCAGAAGAGAGAGCAGGGCCTGGGGAGGCCGTGGATGGACGGGGCTTACGCCCTCTGCGGGACTGCAGCAGGGGGTGGCAGAATGGCAAAGGCTGGAGAAGAAAGAGAAAGAAGGGGAGAACTCGGTGAGTTGAAATAACAAATTGGCCCTAGTGGGGTAGGGGTAGGGGAAAGAGACCAGAGAGCCCCCATCGGTGGTGTCTGGAAGGGATTGGTCTCTGGGATGCAGAAATGAGGCTTTAGAGGCACCAGTTGCCTTACCTGGGGGTGACGAAGGTGACATCAGAGGAGGGGCAGACCAGGCGGCAGGTAGTGATTGTGTAGGTGGCTGGGGTCTGGGGGAGATTGTTAACAGAGTGCAACACTGGAAGGGGACAGGAAATGTGGGATTAACACACACGGGGGGGGCGGGGGGGTTGAAGGAAGGAGGAAGGACACACCAGGTGGGGAGGGGTGACATTCACACTCCTTTCCCCATGAGCAAAGATGTCCCTCCCCCCCTCCCCAGATTCTCACTGAGCCAGCCTACTGATGAAAAGATCAGAGGATGAGAGGGAATGAATGGGTAGACAATAGCCATAGCCAAAGGCCAGACAGGACTTGACTTAACTTAACCTCACCCCTGACCAACCCATCCTCTCGGCATCACCTCAGCATCAGCATACTCAGTCTATGACATATTGTCTTGTGTTTTCAATTATTAACTTTGCCCTGATTCCTTTAGTCATGTTGCCCGTGCTCTGCCTCCCCAGCTAGGCTCTATAAGTTGTGCATGAACAGGGCTTTCTACCAGTTCTCCATCCCCCACTCCCACCCCCAGTATCCAGCACAGGGAGATGCTTATAGAATGAAAGAACTCAGCAGATGCTTATAGGATGAAAGAACAAGCCATGCCAGGATTGATTTCACGGGAGAGATGGTACATGAAGTAGAATCACACAGACAATCACACAGATCAGGCAGACAATAAGACAGACAGGACAGTGCATGTCAGAAAGGAGAGGCATTGTAGTGTATTGGGCAGGGAGGGGTGGGGAGAGCCCTGGACCAGGCATCAGAGGCGACTGCATTTTCAGACATCAACACTAAGCAATGGGTTGACTTTAAGCACCCAACCTTCACATCTTCAGTTTCCTCAGCTGTAAATTGGGTATAATATCTAAGATGCCTACCTCACAGGGGTGTTGTCAGGATCAAACAAGGTTACAGACATGAAAAGTTCCTTCTACATAAATGTCAGCTGTTATCCTATTATAACGCATTATAGGAGAGAGTCTAAAACCCCTGGCCAGATGTACAAAAGTAGCTCTAGTGTACACATTCCGGAGAATCATGGAAGATGATGGTTTTACCTTCCCTCTCTCCATCTAACATCCTTCTTTCGCATCCCCCTACCCTGGTTTGGATTTTATTTGGGAAAGTGGTAGGAGAGAGAAAGGAGGTCTGACTCACATAGAGGACAGGCCTTATCCGTGGCCAGAGAAGCCTTGGATGCCACCACCTTCTCCTCTTCTTCCTCATCTTCTTCAGGGTCCTGAAGACTATATACCTTCTCCACATCCACCTCTAGCTGACGGAAATCCTTGGTCAGCACACCAGGACGAGGATCCAGGATCCCTGCCAGGTGGGGCTGGGCCAGCTGCTGCCAGTGGTGCAGAGTCGCCGAGCCTTGAAAGGGGACAGGGGATAAGCATGTATGACTTGTCTATACTCTCCCACCCTAATCCTGCCCTCCTCCAACCCTCCCCCAGCCTCACAGGACAAAAAATGGCCCAAAGGACGTGTAAGTCACAGACAGGTGTGTGCTTTGGATCACAGGTCAGGCTCAGGAGGCATAATACTGCACAAGGCAACAAAGAGCGTGCAAACATATACACCAATAAGCTCTGATGGCGTGTGAGTGGAGAAGCATTGGTGCTGCTGTGGGGATTCCAAGGCAGCGGCAGTGGGAGGTCTCACTGTCCCAGAATGGAAGGGATAGGATTAGGGCTATAGTCCTTAACTCTTCCACCTTCTCCAGCCTCCCCAACCCCCTTCCCTCTTCACCTACTCTTACCTTCCAGCGGCTTGACAATCTGCAGTTTGTCAGGCAGGTAGGCAAGGGAACCCATGGAGAAGATAGAGCCCCCAGTGGGATCTGAGCTGCCTGATAGAAGGCTCCCACTGGGAGTCAGGACCCCACTGGAACTCTCAGCATCCTCATCCAGCTTCTCCAGGACTGGCTTGGCCTCCTGGGCCTCCTGCCAAGCTGCCAGCCGCTGCAGGGCCAGCGCCAGGTCCTGGCTCCCAGGGGTGCCTGGGCAACCCACCTTCTTCTCTTCTTCCTCACCAGAGGCCTCCTCCAACCTAGAAGAACCCGGATCCAGGATGAGCTCATCTACACCTCTTCCCCAACCCACCCTGCCCCATGCCAGGCCCTGAGGGGACACCCACACCAAGAGTCACTAGTGCTGCCCAGGAAGGAAGGCAGACATCTGTCAGTGAGCTCCCCTCATTTCTCACTGATAGACAGATATAAAATATTATGTTATACATCATATATATTTCTCCAATTATATATTAAAACAATTTTTAAACATTTGAGTTTTTTTTTAAAGTTCTGAGTTCCAAATCTCTCTCTCCCTCCCTCTCTCCCCTCCTCCTTCCCTGAGATGGTAAGCAAACCAATATAGGTTATCCATGTGCAATCATGTAAAACATTTCCCTATTAGTCATTTTGTTTAAGGCTCCTTCTAGGCATTCCATATACGGGGACAGGACCACACCAATCACTGCTCTATCATCAAGAAGAGTTTCTCCCCCTCTACTTTCTACCTACTCCTCAGTCCATTCCCCCATCACTACTGTCGTTCCTACCCTAGCTTCAGGGTCCTCAAGCCCTGCTCTAACCAAACCATTTGAATTTCCCCATCAGTCTCTCCCTTCAGCACCTCCCACCTCAGGTACTTACAGGAGAGCATCACGAGACATAAGGGGACTGCCAGATGGACTACTTGCCACAGAGGGTGGGGGAGACCCCGGGAGGGGATGGATCGAGCCTGATCGGGACCTACCACCCTGGTTCACAGCCTTCACTGTCTCAAACACCCGGCGCAGGTTCCTGGGGGGAAGGGGATGCAAAGTTACAAGATCACCCTAGTAAACACCTGCTATGCCAGACAGGGCAGACAGTCGGGCACGGCAAGGAAAAT